CRWGRMMRAGGCATCTCGGCGTGGCCACGGCCCCGAGATGCGTCGGCCACGTCCRCGGGAAAAAAAAAACAAAAACAAAAAAAACCACGCTGAGTGCCTCAGGCCAGAACGCTGAGTCCCTGAGTCCCTGAGGCCAGGGGCCTAGGGGTCCTTYRCCGTGAAACTGGGCAAAACGCGGTATTTTTGCTGGCRAACTACCGGAACCCGATAAAGCTGCAACGAAACCTCTATTTTTGCAAAGGAAAACTTCGAACGAACGGACGACATTTTTGCTGCCAAACTTCGAAACAGCAATATTTTTGAAATTAACCCTTCTTTCTTTCTTTCTTTCTTTCTTCTTCTTTTTTTTTTTTTTTTTTTCTTTCTCGATTACTTTCCACTCTCATTGAAAAGGATATCAACCTATCCAATCAAGAACACGAAAAACTCGATGTCGCTCCACTGACTTTTCAGGGAAGGACTCTCGAAATTGACGAGTACTTGGACCGCACAACAGGACATCTGCAAGAGCGGGTTTGACCGCCCAGACTCTAGACTGACTCTCCGATCTTAGTTAGTGTTCGGCCTCTCGGCCATCAGCACTCATCGGCTTCTCGCCCTTAAGTTTATACCTTTATATTATTATATCCGAAAATAATAATCGGCTTTTGCACTCGGGCAGGTCTCCAAGCTTCGAGAGAGAGAGAGAGCGCATTTCACGGTCGTGTTCTTCCATAAATATCCAAAACGTTTTTCGAATCTCGAATTGGACAGTGAGTGCAGAGATGCCAATTAATCAATCGAACAAGCAATCAAGCAAGCAAGGAATCGATACTTGATGACGCCAATCAATCAATCAATCAATCGGGCAAGCAATCAAGGCCAGCAAGGAATCGATCCAACAATCATTCTCGCTCCACTACACTGTACTTTCGAAAGTGGAGTGTAGTGGAGCGAGAATGATTGATTGATTGATTGATTGATCGATTGCTTGATTGATTGATTGCTTCCTCGATTGATTGGTTTATTGATTGGCGTCATCAAGTATCGCTCACGTGATGAAACATCGGTCGGGCCGATTAGCCTCCAATCCATCTGTCGTCATCAGTTTTCGGTTGTCGTTCCGCTTTCTTTCTTCTTACATCGAGTTCATCCCGTACCCGTCAACCTATATTTGTTTGCCACGTGGTCCGTAACGATCACCGCTGTTGATTGGTACTTAGGTAATTATCGTCACTTGATTGGTACTTATCACCACTTGATTGTTCGATCTCTCGACCTATCAATTCTTATAATGGGGCTTTCCAGATGAATGGGCAGATCGACGGTCGCCGTTTAACACATCAACACACGACGCAATCGATAGATAATCACCAAAAGCTACAAGATCAACGAACACAATGGGCATATCGTCAGTTGGAGATCAACGAACACAATCGGCAGATCGGACAGTTTCCATTTTACGCATCAACACACGACGGAATCGATAGACGGAATCACCAACCTAAATTATCCACGACCCGGTTCGCCAGACAGACTCTGACCAAGTCCTTTTTTATTTCCCCTTTTTCAGCAAATTCAGTCCTTTTCAATCCAATCATACAAACGATTCCCCTTCCCCCCCCCCCTCCCCCTCTTTTCGGCAAATTCTCTCCTATTCTCTCATCAATCAAACCAACTTCACCAGAGGGCACGACCTCCTTTCTTTTCTTTTCTTTTTCATTTGCTTGTTCATCGGGGTCAACCTGCCTGTCAATCTCTCGCTCTCCTCACGCTTTACCCTCTTTTTTTTGCTCTCGCTCTCCTCCCACTCGACCCTGTTAACTGGGGTTGGCATGAACCTGTTAACCCCAGTTAACAGGGTCAAGTGGGAGGAGAGCGAGAGGAGGTTGCTCTCGCTCTCCTCCCAGTTGACCCTGTTAACTGGGGTTGGCATGAGCTGTTAACCCCAGTTAACAGGGTCAAGTGGGAGGAGAGCGAGAGGTTGCTCTCGCTCTCATCCCAGTTGAAGCTGTTAACTTAAGTTGAGGGTGTCAAACTCTCGCTCTCCTCGCAGTTGAGTGGGGTTAGCATGAAGCCATGGTGGGCAGGTACCCGGCCTAAACTTACGGATTATGTGGAAGAAATTATTTTCTTTCACAGGGAAAAAAAAGCGCTCTTCTCCCGTACACCTGCTTTTCCCCTTGCTTGTTGGCCTCCCCCTTTGATTGCTAACCGCGATCAGCATAGCGGTGAAACTGTTGCTCTCCTTCCCCTTCACCTCATTTTCCCCTTGTTAGGCGTGCGTCTGTTTGCTCTTACCAATACACAAGGCTCATGGATGGAGGTGAGCACTGTCCTCCACCTGATGCAAATTCCTCATACTTTTTCACGTAATCCAAATTCCTCATACTTTTTCGTCTTCTTTCTTTTCTTTCCCTTCTTTTTTCGGTTCGTCGAGTGTAACAGAAAAGAACAAGAAAGAAAGGGCGGCGGCGAAAAATGGATTCAATATTATCTACCATTACCCGGAAACAGATAGAAAATTTCAATAGTCTCTCTCTCTCTCTCTCTCTCTCTCTCTCTCTCTCTCTCTCTCTCTCTCTCTCTCTCTCTCTCTCTCTCTCTCTCTCTCTCTCT